GAGCCCGCCTCAACCTGCGCTTTCTCCCCCGTGTAGCCCCTGCTGGAGGAGGTCGAGACGTGGAAGGAGTGTCAGCTCGTCCGGCAAGTGCGCGGCGAGGTGAGGAGGGAACCTTTCGCGGCTGTTACATTGCACCTCGCTTCTTGCCCTTGCAGATCTGCTCCTGGAGTTTTCCACCTGACTCACCACCCCCAGCCCGCCACGCTTTTGCTTTAAAAAATAATTGCTTTCGTATTAAGTATAAAAATATTTGTAGGGGCAAAAAACCCCAAGTGTCATTGCTCTATGAAATAATAAGAACCCCACCAGCCAAATTTGACGTTGATAGTCTGGAACAACGTTCGAGTGAGTGGCTGGAAAGAAATCTCTTACTTGAACTAGATGGTGTACGGGATAAAGCACAGAGATTTTGCTCAGGATTTTTGCACGCTGCAGTGATAACTTTCCATTTGGCAACCTGGCCTGGCATCAAACACGTTCTTTGTGCAAAAAACCTTAAACTGAAAGCTCTGAGATGAAGAACACCACCTCGCACTTGGTCAGTGCACAAGTAACTAAACAGATTGCCTAAGACCATGCCACTCTGTATGGGAAAAGTGTTCTTCCCTATCCAGTGAAGCAATTAAAAAAATTGTCTCGAGTCTCTTATAGCTTTTTACCAATGCTGAATAGCTGCGCTCAGGTTGTGTCTTCTTCCTAAAAAAGCACCATGGTTTTGAACTCCAGGTCACAAAATGGATTCAGACAAACCAGAGGGTCAGAAAAAGCAGCAAAAAGAAAAGAAAACAGAATGAAGTAATTTTCCAGAAGGTAAGCGATCACGATGTCTGTTTGGGTAATGGGACAAAGGGCAGCAGATCGAAATGCTTTCCGATTACGCCTCCCTAAGCTCTATAGCGCTGTTATTTACCGTCTTCGACAAGGTGATAGTAAAAAAGGGTGTTACAGATAAATTTTCACAGTCACTCTGTAGTTACAATGCCAAGAATTTAACAATCTTTTCAGATTGTTAGTGTAGAAGACAAAATTTTCCTATAATTATGTTTAACTGGACCATTCTGAGGAAGAAAGAGAAGAGTGCTTTCATCAGAGAAATATAGCACTTGAGAGCTTTTAACAGGACCTGCACCACTATTTTTGGATACTGGTAGCTGAGAAACAGTTTTCATGGTGGATATTCGGACAATGAGAGATGTGATGTGTATGTTGAAACAAATATTCAGACTATGCTTGTTGACTTCATTCAGAGTGTGAGTTTGAAAGTCATCTATTTGCAGTACAGATTTCAGTTAATGTTGATGTGTCTAGAAGGTTATTTTAAAAATTACTACAGAAGATTCTTAAACCTGAATGCAGCTAAATTTGAACTATTTTTAACCAGCAATTTTGATTAAGCTATTATCAGAGACTTGTTCTTAACTTGCAATGTAGCGAGGTAAGTAATTAGCTGATATTTTAACTAAATAGCTGTTTTCTGTCCTCTGAGGGAAAAATTTGAATAAAAAATAAATAAAGATGCACTTCCAAATGCATTATTAGAACTATGGGGGTTTTTACTTGTTTTGGTTTTGCAACAAATTTATGATTGTTTTTTAAAACTTGTTACTTCTGAAGGATTAAAATAGCAGTGTGTTGCTTTGCTGTTTTGACAGTGCTTCTAGAATGCATGATGAATCATTGCTGTTTCTGTAGCCAAATTCTTGCTGATAGCATGGCTGCCAACTCCTGGGATGTGTTGCCTTAGTACGGACATTGCAACTCTATGACAAATGTCCTTAAAGTGCCTTGTATAGGAGTGATTTACCAGCTCTATGGTTAGCTAAAAACCACCAAAAAGCATCCTTTTATTCACTACTTGCATTTTGTAACTGGAAAACATAATTTAGGAAAGATGTTCTATGTTGTTGTACTTTGGAATGATGTGATTTAAACAGAGATAGCATAAACTGTTTCACTAGGTAATTCCATTTTTGTTTGTATTTCTGTATGTGAATGTTTGTTTGCATGTATGTGTAGCTATAGCAGGCAAGCATTAGTCTGTTCAAAAGTATTCTTGCCAGGAGTTTGCCAGCAATGGAGAGCAGAGTAATACCACGGTAATTTTGAACAGTCTGATTTAATTCCTTTCTTCTTATACAAAGTGATGATGACTGCATAACGAAGGTCTGATTTTTATGTTAAGAGGTCTATCATTTTATGTTAAGAGGAATAAGACTTTTTTAGGTTAAAAATTGTATCATCTTGGGAATTTGTGAGCAAAATGCATTGATAGGATAAATAACCCTAGTACAAACCATAGTCTACATCCATTTTGAAGTAATTTTTAAACGGTACAAAGTAGATCCCGTGTTACACCTGAACAGTAGGTTTAGAAGTGCCTTATGCTGTTACACCAGTCCTAATCTCTTATTATAGGAGAAAGCTTCCTTAGTACTGATAAAATTCTATTTCTGTTGGGGGAGTTGTTCTCCTGGTGCTCTGTTTGTGAGAGAGAACTTCAGCACGTAGGCTTGCCGTGTTAGAAATGCAAAACCTGATGTGTAAACCTAAGATATACTCATTGTTTTTCAAACAGTAATTGTAGAGCAAGGTCTGTGAATTTAAATTGAAGGTGAGCATAACTGTTGTCTTTTAATATCCATAAGTATCCATATCCTGGGGATGCAGTGCAGCTTCCCAGCACTGCATCGGCCGGGTACTTACCTGCATGGGAAGGAAGAGGTAGAAAAATAACCTCACCTCTGGGACTAAACCACTGACTAGTCACTGAGGTTGGAATTCTTTAAGTTGCGTAGAAGTTTGGCCATTGCAATGATGGTTTTCCAATACAGTTACAGATGAGAGAATAGAAGAGAAGAAGGGCGAGGGACCTCCTGGAAGTGCTTCATTGTACTGTTTAGTTTCAGAGTTGGTTGCAGCTGGGTTTTCAGTGAGTGCTTACCAGTCAGTGCCATTCCCAGTCAGTGTGGATGGTGCTAACCTCTGTTCCACCAGGATTCTTGGTTTTTAGCTGTGTCCATATTAGTTTTTAGCAGAAATGGTGATATACAGCAGTTAAAGTATCTTTCAAGATAAGAAAGAGAACAAGAAAGAGAAAAGCATGTAATGGAAAAGTGAGGCACCCTTTCAGAAAGTAGAGAGGTAGGAATAAAAGCATGGAGTGAAAAGAGGGAGCTGAGAAAGTGAGCAATAATAAACAGAGAAGTCAGAGTTGGTACCAGCTCATATCACAACTGTGATTAATCTAAGGATACTGATTTGCTACATCTAGAAAACTGAGCTTGGCTTTAGTCTTGTTTATCCTTTCCAAGCAAGCACAAACTTCTTAAATGTAGCTTCTAAACTTGCATGTGCCTGTGCTGTCCGATTTTCCTCTGTCATTTCTTTTCTTTGTGATAGGAAGTTGTATTACTAATACAAGATGGGTGACTTTACTATACTGAGACACCTCCAAATCAAAGCAACTGCTGCATCCAAGTACAAAATCTAGGACAGAGAGGTAACTCTGTAGTAAAAAGTGAAAGAGAATTGTAAAGGAAAGGTTGCTGACAACTGCCGGGGAATTGCTTCTTGAAAAAGTTACGTTTGTAGGAGCTGACTGTACTTGCACTTAGGTTTATTTAAAGAACATTTGAAGATACCATGTGGTGGATAAGAACTATGTGACCAGGAGTGTGAACTGTGCTCAAGGGGCATAGGAACCACTGGGGAAGGTTGTGTAGAAAGTTGTGCTGGTTTCTGGTGTGGCCCCACATGTGGTGGATTAGAGCAGAGTAGCAGAATCAGTGGGTGAGAGAGACTTTTACTCAGATAGCTGTGAGTTCTCATACTTTTGCTTTTCTTCCATATTTGGGAGGGCGGGTGGGGTTTTTTGGATGGGGATTTCTTCTGTTGTAGCTTTTTTTCATTGCTAACATTTTTGCTGCTCTGTCTCTGCAGTTTCTTATATTTTCTTAACAGCTTTTGTCCCAGTCTTTTTTTCCTGCTTATTTTTCACTCCTCTTTACTTTCTCTGTTTTCTTTGGACTCCTTTGGTTACCTTTGGTACTGTTCATTCCTTTCTATTTACTTTCAGTAACTTTATCTGTTTGAAAAAAAAAAGGAGAAACAAGTTGAAAAATTGAAAAAAAGTTGTCATTTGCTCCCCATGTTTTCTGTTTATAGTTCTCTATAAATACTCTTCTTGCAATGTGTGTATACATACACAAGTTTAAACACACTCACCCCTAGCATTCTTCTTTTGTCATTCTTCCTGTTCTCTTATATTTTTTACTCCTCATTTATTCCTGTGCTGTCTTTTCATCTTGTCATTTAGCTGCTCAGCACAGTTAGCAATCAGAATGTGTACCAATACAGGATGTGAAATTTAGAGAAGGTATAACAGAGCTTGGAAAGAATTGTTCAGTTAAAATTAACATTGTTTTATTACGAAGAGTGTGAAATAAATATTAAGTGTTATTATTATTTTTGTTGTAATACTTGAGTGTGTCTGCTTGAACCAGTGCTGAATGTTAGGCAGAAGAAAATAACCTTTCAGTCAGCCCAGTGGAATTGTAGCATGCAATCTGTGTCCATTGTGGCATTTGAGGGGAAACATTTTTCGTTAGAAGACCGATTCACTTTTACTTGACTTTCAGTCTTAAAACATAAAAGCTGCTTTGAAAATGTTCCAGTGGTATAAAAAGTGTAATAGGATGAGACACACGGTATACAGGTACCCAGTATTTAGGAAAAACATTGAAATGTGTGTGTGTGTGTGTGTGTGTGTGTGTGTGTGTGTGTGTATATATGCACAGTATATATACCTTCCTAGGTAAGGAAAATGTTTCTTGCAAATTATCAAAATTGCATTTGTCTGTTTCAGTTTTATTTTGATTGTATACAGAAACTTTGAGGAGTAATTCAATGTTACCAGAATAATTTCTGCTGCTTTCTCAGAAATATTGTTTTAATGTGTTTAAAGTTTGTCTGCTGGTTTGCCAGCAATGTGACTGTCATTTGATTTTTTTCCTATTGGTGGTTGCTGTTGATCATTTTGTCTTGCTGTCAGTATTTAAGCTCTATGAATAACCTGAGCAAAAATGACTGTTGAAATAGCTGTTAAGTTTCTAATAAAAAATAAAAACCGCAAAAGAGTTGTGATATATATGACTAACACTAAGTACTGTAACTCTTTTGTTCTTTAACAACAAATTCACAGTGTAACTGAAATACAAGAAACAAATCTTGTAATTCACTAAAATGAGTCTTCTTGATATACTTTAAGTAGAAAATGTTTTGAAGTTTCAGAAAAAGTATTGATTAAAAAAATTGTGTGGTGTAAGAGAGCTCTTCATTAGGGAAGTTTATTCAGGATGATGTGTTTCTGCTAATTCAGGTAAAGACTATTAATATATAGTGCATTAAAATTACTTAAAATCCACAATTGCCATGTATTTTTTTGTTTCTCAAAATGAATGTTTTTACCTGAATCCAACAAACTAAGAATCAAAGCAAGGATCAAATCTGAAATAATCCCAGAGCTTGTGCACTGCATAGTGCTTAACAGCTAAAACAAACATGGTGAAAAGTCCTCGAGTGTTACTCAGAAAGTCTTCTGTGGCATTATTTGCTGTACCAAATTAATCTCACAGAACTTTCTAGGAACCCTGTAAACTGGCCTTCACTGATTACAGAAAACATTGAATTCCTTTTGAGATCAGGAATTTGAATGGAAGACTTTATACCCAGCTCATGCACAAGGTCTGAATTGCAGTTAATGTTCTTAAGCTATCTGGGAAATAGAGTAATTTAAAAAACTTTTCCTCTGA